TTCTGGTGAGTCAGTCTGAGCCACCTGCAGGTCCATCAGGTCTGACCACGCCCACAGGAAGTAACGACATCTGATATACGACACGTCACCACCAACACCAGGGACAGATCTGAAACTGCAGCAGCTGAAACATGTCAACAAGGTAAACACACTTTACTGTTTTGTCTTTAAAAAGAACCTAAGAAGTAAAGTTTATAAGAAGACAAAAGGAACATCTTTGGCTGTGACAGGTGCAGCCTACGGAGCTGTTCCTGCTGCTGTGGCCTCGTCATTTTGGTCTTAAAATTATCGTATTAACCCGCGACACATGATCCTGATTTTTTTTTTTCGCTATTGTGTCCGTCAAAAAATTCCTGTTCAAATGGCAGAGTCTGGCTCCAGATTGGCTCCTGTAACTGGGAACATCACGAGCCTCATTAGAGCGACGCTGAACTCTGTGACGTCACTGAGAACATTTCTTTTATACAGACGGTGCACACACACGGATCATTAACAACACACGAGTAAAATGAAATTAAACTGTTAGATTTTCAAGTTATTCTAATAATTCTCATCCAAATCTTATGGCTAAAAACGAAAACTTATGTTTAACTTTTGCAAAACAAAACGTTGATATTTCTGGGATAGAAATTAAAATCGGCTAAATTACCTTAACGTTAAAAAAAAAAACCTGTGATGAGATTTGCATTATTAAATATTATTATCATTGTTACAGCGCCACACACAGGTGTGGCAGGTGTATCACATCGTTTTCACTCAGTGAAGATTTATTGATCTGACACGTGGACACAAGTTTTTTTCAATCCACAAAAAAAAAAAAATCCAGGAGTGTTGTCGTGTGGACGTAGCTTAAATACCCCCCGTCTCCAGACCAGGAGCTGCAGGAAAGTGAAGTGAACATGGATGTAACTCAGGCTCGGACTGGAAATCTGTACAACCGGGGAAATACCCAGTGGGCCGGTGTGGCCCGGCCCCCCAATTTTGACTGGCCCGAAATGTGTGCTCACAACCCCCCACCCCCCCACGGCACTAGACCCACCCGGTTCTCAACAGGCCAAACCAAAACTCAACCCCCCCCCCACAAAATGTTCATCATAAAGTAAAACGCTCAGTGTGTGAAGAATTGGTGGAAACACGTTCACTCATATTTCGCCTTAAATTTGCCTCATTCTAAAATAATAAACAGTGTAGATTTATGTGTCGAACACGTCTGCGTCTCTCATGCTCCAAACACACCGACCAAAACGACTCCTGTCACCCAAAAAACACCTGCCCAGAAAACATATGGCAAAGTTTATAGGTCGATACAGTATTTTCATTTTGTAAAGATTATTAAAAATCTGAAAATAATCACATCATCCATCCATCCAGTTTCTTCCGCTTATGTGGGGTCGGGTCGTGGGGACAGCAGCCTGAGGCCCTCCCACACTTCCCTCTCCACACACACGTCCTCCAGCTCTTCCGGGGGGATCCCGAGACGTTCCCAGACCGGCCGAGAGACATAGTCCCTCCAGTGTGTCCTGGGTCTTCCCCGGGGCCTCCTCCCGGTGGAACGTTCCCGGAACACCTCCCGAGGGAGACGTCCAGGAGGCATCCGGAACAGATGCCCGAGCCTCAACTGGCTCCTCTCCACGTGGAGGAGCAGCGGCTCTACTCCGAGCTCCTCCTGTGTGACTGAGCTCCTCACTCTATCTCTAAGGGAGACGCCCAGACGCCCTGCGGAGGAAACTCATTTCGAGCGCTTGTATCCGCGATCTCGTCCTTTCGGTCACTACCCAAAGCTCTAATCACATCATTTATGCTAAAATAGTTGAAATATTTTTTTTTTCTATAATAATGAAGTAGTTTATGTGTATGTTTGTGATGTTCAGCAGAGGCAGACGGACGGAGCCTCGTCCTGCATCAGTTTGCGACGCCTCCACTGTGACTCACAAATAATCGTCTGTTTTATACAGTGAGTCTGGCTCATACACCAGGTGTAATATTTGCAAAGGTGCGTTTTACGCTGGTCCCCCTCACCACTTCTACACACTCTGCTCATGAGACTCATTTGCTGCTGCATTTGGTACATTTAGACACGTTCAGAAGAGGCAGGTCAGGAAGTTTAACTCACTGTGTTAAGTCGTTAGTCTCTAATGCCGGCGTTTCGGGTTTAAGACCCTGACGTGTTCTTCACATTTGTATTTTGTTCTGTGTGTGTAAACAACAGAATTTATTAAAACTCAGTGTTTTTTTTATTAGTAAATGTGATTTCTGTTTGTTTGTAAAGAAGAGAAACTTAGAACACATATTTCTGATCCGTTGCCCGTCCCCCGCCCGTGACGCTGCTCTACACGCCGGGCAGAGTGAGCGTAATGGGGAACTACGGGACAGAACAGTGGGCCGGTCCAGAGGAAAAATGTCAGGGCCGAATTTTGTTCCCAGTCCGACCCTGATGAAACTGAAGTGAATCAACAAACAAAGTTCATTTAAATGGACAATGTGTCATGATAATTGAACAAAAGAACCCAGGTAAATTAACAAAATGTGTGAAATGAAACAAATGAGTTTAAAATGGGACAAAGACCCACTTTGTCACAACAATAACATTTCCGTGAACTGTGAGATTTGACGAACCCTCCACCAGAAAAGTTACACAATGCGCCTTTTAAGCAGAACTCGGTAAGTCTGAGTTTTTGTGCAACAGTTACTCGCCCTGGGTTTGACCAGAACAGGCTTAAAAATGGAAGAAAAAAAAGAGACAAAATAAATTGGAAACTGAACTTTTGGCGAGACTGCGACCTAAGCTGAGGGTCGCCGAGGTCCAAACAGAAAGTGAGCGCGGGCGCGCTTCCGGCTCCACCGACTCTGGCTCCAATAACAACGAAAACCGTCGTCCCTCCGTGTGGACCTGCCGCTGTGAACCTCGTCGTTTTGGTCTTAAAATGTTCGTATTAACCCGCGACGCATGATCCTGTTGTCAGTATTTCTTGGCAAATTGTTTCTTAATTGGTGTAAAACTCTTAATTTATATCTACGTCAGGTTTTATCCCGTCAAATAAAGTCACAAAATCTGTTCGACGCACGTGTTTGTCATAACGACCCGTGGACAGGTCTCAGCTACGTTTACTTGAGCAACTTTTTTAAGAATTTTTACTGTTCATATACTTTTACTCCTACTTGAGTCATTTATTTTTATTGTTTTTATCAAAGTAACAGTACTCTTACTTGAGTAAAAGTTGTAATTCCTCTTCCGTCTGTGAGTGTAAAGCAGGATCTCCAACCTTTTGTGTCCGGTGAGCTGCTTTTTATATTCTGTTTGTTCTGGATTCACTGTTTAAGCAAAACTATTATTCAACATTTACCGTATTTTCTGCACTATTAGTCGCTCTGGATTATAATGTCGTTAAATGGTCTATTTTTGAACTTTTTCACAAATAAACGGCGTGGGACTTTAAAGGAAACCCAACAGTGTGATGGGTGAGTGGTTTTGTTTGTTTGTTCGTTCACGGTGACTCTGGGTTTTGTTCAGTTGTGGCGTGTAGGGAGGGTGTGTCTGGGACCAACAGATCGTCTGCGTGTTCGCAGTGACTCAGTTGTTCAGTCGTGTCTAGAAGCGGCACGTTGCACTCGTCGCTTTTTCGGTTCGTTCCTCCGTTCCGTTCCTCGTCGGCGTGGAGTGATGAGTGTGTCTGTGTGTCTGTGGGTGTGTTTCGCTGTGCGGTCGCTGTCTGCTCCGTGTGTGTTTGTGTGTTCTGCGGGTGGTGTGTGTTTGTAGTTTACTGAAGTCGTACTGGGACACCTGAGTGGATTCGTGTATGGGGCGCTCTGGATTGTGGGGCACAGTCGTTTTTTGATGGGGTTGGAGGTTTAAGAGTGTACCCAATAGTGCAGAAAATACTGTATTTTAATAAGAAAAGGTTTAACATTAAAGATCTCAAAAGAAGAAAAAACATGCAAATGTTGAAATTTTTCAATATTTTGTTTGTCCCACAACTTAGTCCCAGTTTTTAATTTTGGCCTCTGTCAGTTTGACTCTCCTGCTGTAAAACATTAAACCATTATCCATTTATTAATGCACAAAGTTCAAAATAACATTCACAGTGATGATTCATTAAATCAAATTTGAGTTATTTCCTACAATATGTTTAATTCAGAAATCCTTTGGCGAGTTGCTCGTAAAGGTTTAGTCACAATAACCCACAAGGGCGATTCACCCATACAGGTGCTGACATTTCTTGGCCCGTGGGGTTCTGTAGAGGAGAGAGAGTTTTCTAAGTGCTTCGTCAGGGTGGTGTAAGTGTGGCTTGTGGGTCCCGTGAGACTCGTACGAGACCCTGGGAGAAATTTGGGCAAAGTGGGTCATGTGAGTGTCGTGTGGGTCTTAAGACTGTCGTCAGGCAATAGTACGTCAAACTTAAGAGCCACACACGGGTCACGTATGAGTCAAAATCTGAAAAAGGCCGTGTGACAGTCTTACGAGATGTGGCTCTTATCGTCGTGCTGTATAACACTGGGCTCGTCATCACATCGTACTCATCCATCGGTCGCTGTGGCCGCTGTCGCTGTCCGCACTAGTGCCTCGCTCTCTGACGGCTCCTCCTCGGCCTGGGGACCTGCTGTGGCTCCTGCTCCTGCTGCAGTCTCCGGGCCTCAGTGTCACGGCTCTTCTCCGTCCTCTTGTTCTTTGCCTTCCCTTTGGGCGGCATCTCGTCGGCGAAAACTTGGTGTGTAGAGTACGGCTGCTACGACTCACGTGTGGCCGCACGGGCATCACATCAGCTTTTATACAGGTCGAACGAGGCGTGCACGTGACCCGTAGGAACGACACAGTTGGCCCGTCCAGGACCCGTGCGTGGGCCGCAGGAATATGGGGCGTGAGAAAATGTAAAAACCTGTAGGACACACCTGCAGGACGCAAACTTGACCCGTACTTCCCCTGTAAGTGTGAGGTACGTGCTTGATACGCGCTGCCGCCCGTAGGCCGCTCGCAGAAAAAAATGTGCATGAACATTTCCTCCCTACAGACTCAGCGGGCGTTTACGAGCTCGGAGTCTTGTACGGGCCACTTGCGAGTCCCGTACAGACTTGGCCAAAATCCGTGAACTGCCCGTGGACCCGTGTGGGTTATTGTGACTAAGGCTTAAGGGAGTGGAGAGCTGCTGTAGCTCCCGAGCTGCAGGTTGGAGACCCCTGGGGTAAAGTGACCAACGTTTTATGTGACAATAGGAAATTATTTCTTATCTGTCCTGTCGACTGTTCTGCTCACTCTGTCCTCCCAACGCCAACTTCACTGGTTTTTATTTCTCTTTAAACGCTTCATCTCAGTTCTCCCGAGGATCTCAAACTGGATTTAATTCCATTCAGATCCTCTTACACTTTACTTCAATTTTTTTTTTTGTCCCAAGAGTCAGAAAACAAAGAGGAAAACACTGATTTAAATATAAAGCTCCTCTGATTGGAACGATCTTCCCTCATCGATTTGCGCTTTAACTTCTGTCCCTTCGTTTAAAAATGCTCTGGTTCAATATTTACAGAACCGTGTCATTGTTTTGGATCATTTTGTTGAGTTTTGTTGTTCATCTTGTTGTATTTTGTGACTGTATTTGAACTCTGTCTTAGTTTTTGTTCAAATGTGACTTATTATGAGTCTAACAGTCGTGTGTGTGTGTTTGTGTGTGTTTGTGTGTGGTTGTGTGCGTTGATTTTGTTGTTTTGAAGTTTATTTGTATTTGTGTATCCTCCTGTATCTGTCTTTTGTCGTTGTATTTATGAGGACGATGATCGAAAACGAGACGTCGAGACTCAAGGGGCTTCTCCTCCAAACAAATAAATCTGAAATTCAAAATTGAACGTTTGTTTTTTGCAGCTTCTTCAGATCTGATTCAGTTTGTCTCATTTTCATGTCTGTCCAGATTTTGTGACTTATTTCATGTTTCGTCCTTCAAATTACTTCAAATTATAAATCAGTCCTGACAGTTACTCTCTAAGTCACTGTGACTGGAGTAATACTTTTCCGAAATATTTGTATTTATTTATTTTTTTAAACTTTTATTTCAGTTACTCTTACTTGGTGCTGTGACGTGACTAAAAAAATACATATTCTGAATATTCATTTGTGCACTTGTGTTCTGGTACAGTTCCTCTTCCATGTGATAGTTTTGAGAATAAAATTACTTCCTAAATACTTCTTCGTGTCATTTTGGTTTTGAACTGCACAGTATTAGTGAGAATAAAGACCACACGGCTCCTGCAGCGAGTGTGTCGTTACAATTACTGCGAACAAACAGTACAACAAAAATAAAGCTTTTTTTTTTACACTATAATAATGCAACTCGGTGTATAAGTATTTAGACACTGTCCTCTGACTGGACCGTGTAGTGGAACACGTTACAAAATACATTCTGATTCTGTAACTACAAACTTTTTCAAAGTATTTCTCCATAACTGCTCTGACTGTCAACACTCTGCTCTCCCCTGTCACTCAGTGTAAAAGGGTGCGTTGCCTCTGGGCACAGGGGCAGTAAAAGGGTGCGTTGCCTCTGGGCACAGGGGCGGTTGGGGTGAGTTACCGAGTTGTGCTTGGTGCGGGTTGTGGCGCTCGGTCCTCGATGTGGAGCACATGAAACTGAACATGGACAGAGGAACATAAGGCAACGATGAGTCGTATAAAAATAGTCTCTGTTCTTCTCTTCTAAAAAAACGGTACAAAAGTTTTGTCTTGGACCAGAGAGACGTTCATGTTCCTGAGCTCTTGGGCGGACCGGGCCTCGCGGTACCCGAGCTGCCACAGGGCCCGCTTGCACACGCCCTGGCTGAACTCCACCATGTCGAAGGGCAGCTTGAGGCGCCAGCTCTCGGCGTTGGCGGCGGAGTCGCGCCTGGTGCCGTACTTGTCCTTGACCTCGCTGGTGGACCTGGTGTTGACGCGGATCCACTCCTCCACGCTCGGAGTCATGCTCAGACCCACGAAGTCGTAGATCTCCTTGGTCTTCTGCAGAGGGTTCCTGGACAGGTCCTCGTAGCGCACCAGCATGTACCTGCAGAGGAGAGGCTCAAATCAGACACGAGCAGCACGGTCTTAAAGGGTTCGGTCCTGGTTCGGTCCTGGATGAGTCCTGGTTCAGTCCTGGTTCAGTCCTGTTTCAGTCCTGGCTGTGTCCTGGTTGAGTCCTGGTTCAGTCTTGGGTTAGTCCTGGTTCAGTCCTGGTTCAGTCTTCTTTCAGTCCTGGTTGAGTCCTGGTTCAGTCTCCGTTGAGTCCTGGTTCAGTCCTGGTTCAGTCTTCGTTCAGTCCTGGTTGAGTCCTGGTTTAGTCCTGGTTGAGTCCTGGTTCAGTCTTGGGTTAGTCCCGGTTTAGTCTGTGTTCAGTCTCCGTTGAGTCCTGGTTCAGTCTTCATTCAGTCCTGGTTCAGTCCTGGTTCAGTCCTGTTTCAGTCCTGGCTGAGTCCTGGTTCAGTCTTGGGTTAGTCCTGGTTCAGTCCTGGTTGAGTCTTCTTTCAGTCCTGGTTGAGTCCTGGTTCAGTCTTCGTTCAGTCCTGGTTGAGTCCTGGTTTAGTCCTGGTTGAGTCCTGGTTCAGTCTTGGGTTAGTCCTGGTTTAGTCTGTGTTCAGTCTCCGTTGAGTCCTGGTTCAGTCTTCATTCAGTCCTGGTTCAGTCCTGGTTCAGTCCTGTTTCAGTCCTGGTTGAGTCCTGGTTTGGTACCTGCCCTTGAGCCAGGCGGGTTGGCTCAGTGCGGTGGACACAGAGTTGAAGAAGTCGTCGCAGATGGTTGTGAACTGCCAGGTCTCCAGGGTGTGGGGCCTTCGTCCTGTGGCTTGCCAGATTCCCCAGAGGCGGTACAGGTCCCGGAAGGTCTCGATCCTGGAGCTGAGGATCCCCCGAGGGTCCCGCACCAGCTGGATCACTTTAATGTTGAGACGAGGGTCCTCCAGCAGGGGGCGCAGGTCTTCCACCACCGGCATTCGTACCTGCAGCAAGAGGTTTAAAGTTCATGAAAAAGTTTTTCCAGGTGAGAGTCGCTCAATGTGGATGACGAGGCCCCGCCCCCCTCCCCCCGTACGCTGTCCTGGTTTTGACAAACACAAATCTGGTCACACTGACCTGTATTCACCTGAGTCATGTCTTTTAATCCAACACAAGTTGAACCACATCAGCGACACAAGAGCTGGAGTTTTATCTTCACTTAGTTTATGTAAATTAGTGATGTGGTTTTAAGTTTTGTTTCTGTGAGATTTGAACAAAACTGAATTAAACACATTATAATGTCAAACAGCTGATGTGGATCTAGAGTCGTTATGTTTATATGTCGTAAAGTTGAATTTATTTATGCAGATTAGTGCAGATAGTAATAATAATGATGATCATTTTAATATAAAAACGTTAATGGTTAATCGATAATCGATCGTTAATTCTCCCGACTGATTAAGAAAATTTAATCAAATGCCCGTCTCTAGTCGAGATACACTAAAATAGATTGAGATATATTTTTACTCCATATCCTCACATTATATTCACCGTTTGATGACATATGAGAGGAGAATAGAGTCTCTGCACCGTCACGTGACCCCTACAGCAACGGTACCTACGCCGCCATGACACCAGACACGATATGTCATTGACTTCAGCAGCATCGGAGAAACATGGGCAGGTTTTGTTGTGTATTTGGTTGGTCTAGACCAGGGGTGTTCAATACGTCGATCTCGATCTACCAGTCGATCGCCAAGGTCGTGTGGGTACATCGCCGTGTCTCGTCTCGGACTCGATCGTGTTTGGACTCGGTCTTGTCTCTCACTCGAGGTCTGACACTCAACAAGTGTGATCATATTTCATTCCGGCCGCTGCTGTTGGTAATAAACTTGTAGCGGGTGCAGGAGCGTGTGGGGCGTCTCAGTGCAGCCTGTGCGCTCATTTGAAACCCGCGGAGACTCTACGGCGCATCACAAACACACACGCTCCCTATGCACGGCTCGTCTGCGACAGCGTGTGCCCTCGTGTACCAGCGTGCGTCACAGGGCAGGTTCAACTTCCTAAACATCCTACCTGTCCACCTGCCTCACGTCAGCACGCCGCCCCTCGCCTTTTCACGGAAAAAAGACGTGGATTATAGCAGCAAAAATAAACCGCAAAGAGATTTCCAATGGTCCCATCAAGACACCCGAAGTTTCATCAAGGTATTTAGATAGTTTCATAGATTATTTAATGAAAGAAGCACATTTACTGAACAAAAATTTCATTAATTTATCCAGGAAAACCCGCACTAGTTTACGATTCAACGAACCCACACTGGGCTCCTGTGATCAACATGACGCACGAGTCAAAGAGTCTGTGAGCCAAACCTCGAAAGAATCGGCCATGAAAAGATCCTTGTTAACGTTACAAAGATCCACTCACAAAAAGTGATTAATTCTAGAAGACAAAGTTATGGATAAACAAGACAATAAAGAAAACCTGACATGTTTATATGTGCTGGAAGATCCAGTTTCTACTGCCACTCACACTGCAAATGTTTTCTTTTTACATTTTAGTTCAGTAAATGTGTTTCTCTCATTAAATAAACTATGAAACAATTTAAATAACAAACACCTTGATGAAACGTCGTGTGTCTTGATGGTATCATTGGAAATCTCTTCGTGGTTTATGTTCTCTAGACATAATCGATAATTCCCTTGTTTGATCCTGATGAGTCATTTCCAGAGGAACAGTGAAGAAACGATTCGTTTTATCCCTTCCAGAGCGTCTAGAACAACCAAATACACAACAAAACCTGCCCATGTTTCTCCGATGCTGCTGAAGTCAATGACATAGTGTGTCCGGTGTCATGGCGGCGTAGTTACCGTTGCCATGGGGACACATGACGGTGCAAAGCCTCTATACTGTAGTACATCACATATGACAGGAGAGTACTGTAGTACATCACATATGACAGGAGAATACTGTAGTACATCACACGTTCATGTACTGTGCTGTACTCTGATGTAGTCACGTCTGGAGGGACGCTGTTCCTGAGTGACCAGTCACAGCAGACCGTCCCTCTGGACCTGACTATCTGTCCTAAAAACAAACGCTCATGTTTGAGGCTGAACCCACCGTCTTCATGGCGACGTGGGGTTTCTCTCGACACGCCTGCGCCGCCAGCGTCAGGTTGAGCGGGCTGCACTTCTTCTTGCACTGCCACTCCTCCAACGACTCGCCGGGTTTGAAGGCCTGGCACACGGGCGGCTGGCACAGGTTCCGGCTGGCGCCCTGGCGGAACAGGTTGTCCAGCATGTGGTTGGCGGGGGCGGGGCGGACGTAGCTCTCCAGGGCGTAAAGGTCACACTGGAACAGGCTCCACAGAAGGTCACGACTGGCCCCCAACATCACCTGACAACACCACAGGAACATCTACAGCACACAGCTTCTCCAAAACTTTTACAGAACCTTTAATCCTGTTGGAACCATTTTCCTGGTTTAGACCTGCTTTAGTTCTGGTTTACTTCTGGTTTAGTCCTGGTTTAGTTTCTGTCTGCTCTGGAGAGCAGCTTCACTGAGACTGATTCACTCTCGCTGTGTGAAGGTTTCGCAGCTCTTTCCTTCCTGCTGCTGTCAGACTTTACAACAAACACTGTTCACACTGAACATGTGCCAGTCAATTATATCCATGTGAAATTATTTTAAATCTATTTTAAAATTATTTTTAAGCTATTATTTATTATCTGTGTTACCTTTTCCTGCTGTTCTGAAATTGTGCGTTGCAACATTGGAATTTCCCCACTGTGGGACTAATAAAGGCTTATCTTATCTTATCTTTAGTTCTGGTTTAGTCCTGGTTTAGTTCTGGGTTAGTCCTGGTTTAGTTCTGGTTTAGTCCTGGTTTAGTCCATGTTTAGGCCTGGTTTAGTCCTGGTTTAGTTCTGGTTTAGTCCTGGTTTAGTTCTGGTTTAGTCCTGGTTTAGTCCTGGTTTAGTTCTTGTTTAGTCCTGGTTTAGTCCTGGTTTAGTTCTGGTTTAGTCCTGGTTTAGTTCTGGTTTAGTCCTGGTTTGGTCCTGGTTTAGTTCTTGTTTAGACCTGGTTTAGTCCTGGTTTAGTCCTGGTTTAGTTCTTGTTTAGACCTGGTTTAGTTCTGGTTTAGTCCTGGTTTAGTTCTTGTTTAGACCTGGTTTAGTTCTGGTTTAGTCCTGGTTTAGTTCTTGTTTAGACCTGGTTTAGTTCTTGTTTAGACCTGGTTTAGTCCTGGTTTAGTTCTTGTTTAGACCTGGTTTAGTTCTTGTTTAGACCTGGTTTAGTTCTGGTTTAGTCCTGGTTTAGTTCTTGTTTAGACCTGGTTTAGTTCTTGTTTAGACCTGGTTTAGTTCTGGTTTAGTCCTGGTTTAGTTCTTGTTTAGACCTGGTTTAGTTCTGGTTTAGTTCTGGTTTAGTTCTTGTTTAGACCTGGTTTAGTTCTGGTTTAGTCCTGGTTTAGTTCTTGTTTAGACCTGGTTTAGTTCTGGTTTAGTTCTGGTTTAGTCCTGGTTTAGTTCTTGTTTAGACCTGGTTTAGTTCTGGTTTAGTTCTGGTTTAGTCTGACCTGACCTGGCGTGGTCAGGTCTGCTTTACATAAATGTTGTGTGGTGTCTGTCAGGTGTCGGTCAGGTGTCGTCAGGTGTCGGTCAGGTGTGTCAGGTGTCTGTCAGGTGTCAGTCAGGTGTGTCAGGTGTGGTCAGGTGTCAGGTGTCTGTCAGGGTGTCAGTCAGGTGCGTCAGGTGTCGGTCAGGTGTGTCAGGTGTCTGTCAGGTGTCAGTCAGGTGTCAGGTGTGTGTCAGGTGTCTGTCAGGTGTCTGTCAGGTGTGTGTCAGGTGTCTGTCAGGTGTCGTCAGGTGTCGGTCAGGTGTCTGTCAGGTGCGTCAGGTGTCGGTCAGGTGTCTGTCAGGTGTGTCAGGTGTCGGTCAGGTGCGTCAGGTGTCGGTGTCAGGTGTCTGTCAGGTGTGTCAGGTGTCTGTCAGGTGTGTGTCAGGTGTCTGTCAGGTGCGTCAGGTGTGTGTCAGGTGTCTGTCAGGTGTTGTCGTCAGGTGTCGTCAGGTCAGGTGTCTGTCAGGTGTGTCAGGTGTGTGTCAGGTGTGTCAGGTGCGTCAGGTGTGTGTCAGGTGTCGGTCAGGTGTCTGTCAGGTGTGTCAGGTGTCAGTCAGGTGTGTCAGGTGTCTGTCAGGTGCGTCAGGTGTGTGTCAGGTGTCTGTCAGGTGCGTCAGGTGTGTGTCAGGTGTCTGTCAGGTGTCAGGTGTCTGTCAGGTGTGTGTCAGGTGTCTGTCAGGTGCGTCAGGTGTGTGTCAGGTGTGTGTCAGGTGTCTGTCAGGTGTCTGTCAGGTGTGTCAGGTGTCAGTCAGGTGTGTCAGGTGTCTGTCAGGTGTCTGTCAGGTGTCGGTCAGGTGTGTGTCAGGTGTCTGTCAGGTGTCGTCAGGTGTGTGTCAGGTGTCTGTCAGGTGCGTCAGGTGTGTGTCAGGTGTCTGTCAGGTGTGTCAGGTGTCTGTCAGGTGTCGGTCAGGTGTGTGTCAGGTGTGTCAGGTGACTGTCAGGTGTGTCAGGTGTCTGTCAGGTGTCTGTCAGGTGTCGGTGTCAGGTGTGTGTGTCAGGTGTCTGTCAGGTGTCGTCAGGTGTGTGTGTCAGGTGTGTCAGGTGTGTGTCAGGTGTGTCAGGTGTGTCAGGTGTGTCAGGTGTCTGTCAGGTGTCTGTCAGGTGTCTGGTGTCCAGGTGTGTGTCAGGTGTCTGTCAGGTGTGTCAGGTGTCTGTCAGGTGTCGGTCAGGTGTGTGTCAGGTGTGTCAGGTGTCAGGTGTCAGGTGTCGGTCAGGTGTGTGTCAGGTGTGTCAGGTGACTGTCAGGTGTCTGTCAGGTGTCGGTCAGGTGTGTGTCAGGTGCGTCAGGTGCGTGTTACCTGCCGGTCGGAGGCCATGTGGATGCGCGGGACGATGGAGGCCTGGACGTGGTACAGAGGCTCAAACAGGTAGAAGACGTCCGGGTGCTGGTTGAGGAGCTGCCCGATGAACGTGGAGCCGCAACGGGTGGTCGTCAGGAGCAGCACCTGCGTCCGGCGGGTGGAGTTTGACAGGTGCTCCTCGTCACAGCCGCCCCTGCGCAAATAAAGCCATTCAGGGACATTCATGTGGGCAGAAGTGTGGTGTTTGGTTAAAGCGGGACAAAAGGGAAAAGTGAGGAGGGGTCTGGAGGACAAAAGGGAAGAGTGGGGGGAGTCTAGAGGACAAAAGGGGGAGTGAGGGGAGTCTAGAGGACAAAAGGGAAGAGTGGGGGGGGTCTGGAGGACTAAAGGGGAGAGTGGTGGGGTCTGGAGGACTAAAGGGGAGAGTGGTGGGGTCTGGAGGACTAAAGGGAAAAGTGAGGGAGGGTCTGGAGGACTAAAGGGGGAGTGGAGGGGTCTGGAGGACTAAAGGGGAGAGTGGTGGGGTCTGGAGGACTAAAGGGAAAAGTGAGGGAGGGTCTGGAGGACTAAAGGGGGAGTGGAGGGGTCTGGAGGACTAAAGGGGAGAGTGGTGGGGTCTGGAGGACTAAAGGGAAAAGTGAGGGAGGGTCTGGAGGACTAAAGGGGGAGTGGAGGGGTCTGGAGGACTAAAGGGCAGAGTGAGGGAGGGAGTCTGGAGGACTAAAGGGGAGAGTAACGTGGGGGGGTCTGGAGGACTAAAGGGGGGACGGGGGAGTCACATGATTGTTTTTTTTTATGCCTGCCATATTGACGTTCTGCCAACAGTAGCTGCATTGTAGTAACACGGCTCATCTGTGGTCGGGTCATAAATTCTCCATCACATCCCCCAAAATGTTTTTTTTTAAATAAATAAATAATAGTCCAGATGCCATCCCATACGGAACCAGACAGGGTCATGTTCCCGATGTTCCTTCGATTGCGAAAGGTTTCTGTGTTCCCTGCTAAAACCGCGACCGTCCTCATCTCAAGTTCTCACCACCAACTCATAAAACAGCAGCAGGTAGAACTTTGTCCAAACTCACACATCGACCTGAAGCAGAAACTGAAGCCCCATGTGTTTCTCTCTCGACACTTTAACGCCACGAGTCTTCATGCGAAAATTAAAGGAACAACTCGAAAATGTGCTCGTTTTACAATGACGGACGATAGGCGAGTTTCATTGTTGACAAAAGCGCAGGTTTCATGCTGGGAATTATTTTGGTCGGCAGCAAGAAACACTAATTCAACACGACGGACGGAGTGAGAAAACATGTAAAGGGTATTGATCCTGGTTATTTATCCAGTCTAACGGCAGACGACCCAACACCATTTGACCAGAAATTGGGTGATTTGGCTTCCGTCGATGTTTATGACCTTTTCAACCCCGACAGAGTCTGGACCAAACCAAACTTCTGGTCAGAATCTCCAACTACCTGGACAAATATTCACTTGGGCGACATCCACAATGACTTGGTGGAAACTCCTGGGCCATTCACAGCAGAAAAGATGAAAACCTCCAAGAGTCTGGATGTGTTGTTGAACTTGTTGAGTCCAGGTTTGTTAGGATCTTCTACGTTTGCTCTGCGGATGTTTGAAAGTCGTTTAATTCACCGTTAGTGGTTCTTTTCACTCAGAATATGAAAAAGACATTTTCCTTCTTCCGTGCTTCTATTTGTGCGTCCGATAATGCAGCAGGAGTTTAACATTATCGGGGATAAATACGCGAGGTTACACACTGTGTTTGACGCTACCGTGTTTCTTGCCTCCGACCAAAATATTTCCCAGCAGCAACGCCGGCTTTTAATAACAATGACGTCAGCTGAAACTCGACGATACCTGCATCCTGAGGGGGGGGGGGGGGGGGCTTTTCACGACTCTCACAGACCAGAGCTGAGTTTATGTGATGTTTAAAAACCAGGACTAAACCAGATCTAAACCAGGACTAAACCAGGTCTGAACCAGGATTAAACCAGATCTAAATCAGGACTAAACCAGGTCTAAACCAGGACTAAACCAGGACTAAACCAGGTCTGAACCAGGACTAAACCAGGTCTAAACCAGGACTAAACCAGGTCTGAACCAGGACTAAACCAGGTCTGAACCAGGACTAAACCAGGACTAAACCAGGACTAAACCAGATCTAAACCAGGACTAACCAGGACTAAACCAGGACTAAACCAGGATCTAAACCAGGACTAAACCAGGACTAAACCAGGACTAAACCAGGACTAAACCAGGACCAGGACTAAACCAGGACTAAACCAGATCCAGATAAACCAGGACTAAACCAGGTAAACTGAAACCAGGACTAAACCAGGTCTGAACCAGGACTAAACCAGGATCTAAACCAGGTCTGAACCAGGATCTAAACCAGGACTAAACCAGGATCTCTAAACCAGGTCAGGACTAAACCAGGACTAAACCAGATCTAAACCAGACTAAACCAGACTCTAAACCAGGACTAAACCAGATCTAAACCAGGACTAAAACCAGGACTAAACCAGATCTAAACCCAGGACTAAACCAGGACTAAACCAGGACTCTAAACCAGGATCTAACCAGGACTAAACCAGGACTAAACCAGATCTACTAAACCAGGACTAAACCAGGTCTGAACCAGGACTAAACCAGGTCTGAACCAGGACTAAACCAGGACTAAACCAGATCTAAACCAGGACTAAACCAGATCTAAACCAGGACTAAACCAGGTCTAAACCAGATCTAAACCAGGACTAAACCAGGACTGAACCAGGACTAAACCAGGACTAAACCAGGACTAAACCAGGTCTAAACCAGGACTGAACCAGGTCTAAACCAGGACTAAACCAGATCTAAACCAGGACTAAACCAGACTAAACCAGGACTAAACCAGGACTAAACCAGGACTAAACCAGGACTAAACCAGGACTAAACCAGGACTCCAGGTCTGAACCAGGACTAAACCAGGACTAAACCAGGACTAAACCAGGTCTGAAACCAGGACTAAACCAGGACTAAACCAGGTCTGAACCAGGACTAAACCAGGACTAAACCAGGTCTGAAACCAGGACTAAACCAGGACTAAACCAGGACTAAACCAGGACTAAACCAGGACTAAACCAGGACTAAACCAGGACTAAACCAGGTAAACTAACCAGGACTAAACCAGGACTAAACCAGGTCTAAACCAGGACTAAACCAGGACTAAACCAGACTAAACCAGGACTAAACCAGATCTAAACCAGGACTAAACCAGACTAAACCAGGACTAACCAGGTCTAACCAGGACTAAACCAGGACTAAACCAGATCTAAAACCCAGGACTAAACCAGGATCTAAACCAGGACTAAACCAGGTCTGAACCAGGACTAAACCAGGTCTGAACCAGGACTAAACCAGATCTAAACCAGGTCTGAACCAGATCTAAACCAGGACTAAACCAGATCTAAATCAGGACTAAACCAGGACTAAACCAGATCTAAACCAGGACTAAACCAGATCTAAACCAGGACTAAACCAGATCTAAACCAGGACTAAACCAGGACTAAACCAGGACTAAAACCAGGATCTAAACCAGGACTAAACCAGGACTAAACCAGGACTAAACCAGGTAAACCAGGTGAAAGGACCAGGACTAAACCAGGACTAAACCAGATCTAAACCAGGACTAAACCAGGTCTGAACCAGGACTAAACCAGGACTAAACCAGATCTAAACCAGGACTAAACCAGATCTAAACCAGGACTAAACCAGGTCTAAACCAGATCTAAACCAGGACTAAACCAGGACTGAACCAGGACTAAACCAGGACTAAACCAGGTCTAAACCAGGACTGAACCAGGTCTAAACCAGGACTAAACCAGGACTAAACCAGATCTAAACCAGGACTAAACCAGGACTAAACCAGGTCTGAACCAGGACTAAACCAGGACTAAACCAAGACTAAACCAGGTCTGAACCAGGACTAAACCAGGACTAAACCAGGACTAAACCAGGTCTGAACCAGGACTAAACCAGGACTAAACCAGGACTAAACCAGGAAACCAGAACCAGGACTAAACCAGGACTTAAACCAGGTCTGAACCAGGACTAACCAGGACTAAACCAGGACTAAACCAGGACTAAACCAGGACTAAACCAGGACTAAACCAGGACTAACCAGGACTAAACCAGGACTAAACCAGGACTAAACCAGGACTAAACTAACCAGGACTAAACCAGGACTAAACCAGGACTAAACCAGGTCTAACCAGGACTAAACCAGGACCAGACTAAACCAGGACTAAACCAGGACTAAACCAGGACTAAACCAGGACTAAACCAGGACTAAACCAGGACTAAACCAGGTCTGAACCAGGACTAAACCAGGACTAAACCAGGTCTAAACCAGGACTGAACCAGGTTTAAACCAGGACTAAACCAGGTCTAAACCAGGTCTAAACCAGGTCTAAACCAGATCTAAACCAGGACTAAACCAGGACTAAACCAGGTCTAAACCAGGACTAAACCAGGACTAAACCAGGTCTGAACCAGGACTAAACCAGGACTAAACCAGGACTAAACCAGGTCTAAACCAGGTCTAAACCAGGTGTAAACCAGGTCTAAACCAGGACTAAACCAGGACTAAACCAGGTCTAAACCAGGTGTAAACCAGGTCTAAACCAGGTCTAAACCAGGTCTAAACCAGGACTGAACCAGGTCTAAACCAGGATTAAACCAGGACTAAACCAGGACTAAACCAGGTCTAAACCAGGACTAAACCAGGACTAAACCAGATCTAAACCAGGACTAAACCAGGTCTGAACCAGGACTAAACCAGGACTAAACCAGGGCTAGACCAGGACTAAACCAGATCTAAACCAGGACTAAACCAGGTCTAAACCAGTTCTAAACCAGGACTAAACCAGGTCTAAACCAGGTCTAAACCAGGACTAAACCAGGACTAAACCAGAACTAAACCAGGACTAAACCAGGACTAAACCAGGACTAAACCAGGACTATACCAGGACTAGACCAGGACTGTTTTGTACCAGATTCTTGTTGGTCCCAGTGGATCTGTGTGAACATTAGATGTGCTCATTCCGCCCGCTCACCTCAGGTCGTCGCGCTCGTAGGCGGAGTCAGCTGAGAAGGGGGCGGAGCTGCTGTTGGAGTGGGCGGGGCAGAGCAGGTAGGAGGTGGAGGTCAAAGTTCGTATGGCCGTGTACTGGATGGCGACCGATGCCAACGCCAAGAGAACCACCGACTTCCACGAACACTGCATGACGTCGGACCGGCGGCGGCGCCTTGCTCAAGGGTCAAGGCGGGCGCTCGGCATGGTTCAGGGTTTAGTCCTGAGGAAGTGCATTGCTCAGAGGCAGAGGCAGGGGTCCAGGTCAGGCGTCTCCTGTCGACAGAACACAGCAAAGGTTTGAACATTAGACCTGGTCTGGACCTGGTCTGGACCTGGTCTGGACCTGGTTTGGACCTAGTTTGGTCTAAACCAGAACTAAACCAGGACTAAACCAGGTCTAAACCAGGACTAAACCAGGTCTAAACCAGGGCTAGACCAGGTATAAAACCGGGTCTAAACCAGGACTAAACCAGGTCTAAACCAGGACTAAACCAGGGCTAGACCAGGTATAAAACCGGGTCTAAACCAGGACTAAACCAGGACTAGACCAGGACTAGACCAGGACTAGACCAGGTCTGAACCAGGTCTAAACCAGGACTAAACCAGGTCTAAACCAGGGCTAGACCAGGACTAAACCAGATCTAAACCAGGTCTAAACCAGTACTAAACCAGGACTAAACCAGGACTAAACCAGGACTAAACCAGGTCTAAACCAGGTCTAATCCAGGACTAAATCAGGACTAAACCAGGTCTTTTCCAGGACTATTCCAGGACTAAACCAGGACTATTCCAGGACTAAACCAGGACTATTCCAGGACTAGGACTAAACCAGGACTATTCCAGGACTAAACCAGGACTAGACCAGGTCTGCTTTGGCCCAGGTTCTTGTTAATCCTGAGGCCGCTGAAGGTCGTGTGAAGGGCAGAGATGCTGAGGCTTAATCGCTGTGGAATGTTTCATATCAGAGGTCCAGACCGGGCCAAAGTCCAAGTCCACAGTCTGGATCTGAGTCCTGGTCCAGTCCTCTTTTAGTCCAGGTTTAGTCCAGGTTTAGTCCAGACCTCCCCAAATATCACACCAGGATCCAGTTACTGTAAAAACTGTAATAATTTGAATGATCGTATCCAGAACTAAACCAGGAGTAAACCAGGACCAAAACAGGACTAAACCAGGACTAGAACAAGTCTAAACCAGGACTAAACCAGGACTAAACCAGGTCTAAACCTGGACTAAACCAGGTCTAAACCAGGTCTAAACCAGGACTAAACAAGGACTAAACCAGGACTAGACCAGGTCTAGATCAGGTCTAGGTCAGGTCTAGATCAGGTCTAGGTCAGGTCTAGGTCAGGTCTAGATCAGGTCTAGGTCAGGTCTAGGTCTAGGTCAGGTCAGATCAGGTCTAGGTCTAGGTCAGGTCTAGATCAGGTCTAGTCAGGTCAGGTCTAGATCAGGTCTAGGTCAGGTCTAGATCAGGTCTAGATCAGGTCCTAGGTCAGGTCTAGATCAGGTCAGGTCTAGGTCAGGTCAGGTCAGATCAGTCTAGATCAGGTCTAGGTCAGGTCAGATCAGGTCTCTAGGTCAGGTCTAGGTCTAGGTCAGGTCAGGTCTAGATCAGGTCTAGTCAGGTCTAGGTCAGGTCAGGTCAGGTCAGGTCTAGGTCAGGTCTAGGTCAGGTCTAGATCAGGTCTAGATCAGGTCTAGGTCAGGTCAGAGTCTAGATCAGGTCTAGGTCAGTCAGGTCAGGTCTAGGTCAGGTCTAGATCAGGTCTAGGTCAGGTCTAGATCAGGTCTAGATCAGGTCTAGGTCAGGTCTAGATCAGGTCTAGATCAGGTCTAGGTCAGGTCTAGATCAGGTCTAGGTCAGGTCTAGATCAGGTCTAGATCAGTCTAGGTCAGGTCTAGATCAGTCTAGGTCAGGTAGATCAGGTCAGGTCTAGGTCAGGTCAGTCTAGATCAGGTCTAGGTCAGGTCTAGGTCAGGTGTAGATCAGGTCTAGATCAGGTCTAGGTCAGGTCTAGATCAGGTCTAGATCAGGTCTAGGTCAGGTCTAGATCAGGTCTAGGTCAGGTCTAGATCAGGTCTAGGTCAGGTCTAGGTCAGGTCTAGGTCAGGTCTAGATCAGGTCTAGATCAGGTCTAGATCAGGTCTAGGTCAGGTCTAGGTCAGGTCTAGATCAGGTCTAGGTCAGGTCTAGGTCAGGTCTAGATCAGGTCTAGGTCAGGTCTAGATCAGGTCTAGATCAGGTCTAGATCAGGTCTAGGTCAGGTCTAGGTCTAGATCAGGTCTAGGTCTAGGTCATCAGGTCTAGGTCAGGTCTAGATCAGGTCTAGGTCAGGTCTAGATCAGGTCTAGGTCAGGTCTAGATCAGGTCTAGGTCAGTCTAGGTCTAGGTCAGGTCTAGGTCAGGTAGTCAGTCTAGATCAGGTCTAGGTCAGGTCTAGGTCAGGTCTAGATCAGGTCTAGGTCAGGTCTAGGTCAGGTCAGGTAGATCAGGTCTAGGTCTAGATCAGGTCTAGGTCAGGTCAGGTCTAGGTCAGGTCTAGATCAGGTCTAGGTCAGGTCTAGGTCAGGTCTAGATCAGGTCAGGTCAGGTCAGGTCAGGTCAGGTCAGGTCTAGATCAGGTCTAGATCAGGTCTAGATCAGGTCTAGGTCAGGTCTAGATCAGGTCTAGGTCAGGTCTAGATCAGGTCAGGTCTAGTCAGGTCTAGATCAGGTCTAGATCAGGTCTAGATCAGGTCTAGGTCAGGTCTAGGTCAGGTCTAGATCAGGTCTAGGTCTAGGTCAGGTCTAGGTCATCAGGTCTAGGTCAGGTCTAGATCAGGTCTAGATCAGGTCTAGGTCTAGGTCTAGGTCAGGTCTAGATCAGGTCTAGATCAGGTCTAGATCAGGTCTATCAGGTCTAGGTCAGGTCTAGTCAGGTCTAGGTCAGGTCCGGGTCTGTCCGGTCGCATCTTCTTCGCTCCGCGTGAGGTGCGCGGCCGTTCGCGCATGCGCAGTCAGGATGAACCCTCGGAATATAAAAACACGGGCTCCATCCCGAGAGGCGCGCGCACCAGCACCTGTTTCCAAACGCCTCGTGCCCTTGTCGGACGCGCGCGGGAGCATGTGCGTGAGGGCGCGCGCGTGAGGCCCGGGCGCGGAGCTGGAGACGGTGGACCCGGTTCAGACCTGGTTCAGACCTGGTTCAGACCTGGTTCAGACCCGGTTCAGACCTGGTTCAGACCCGGTTCAGACCTGGTTCAGACCTGGTTCAGACCGGTTCAGACCTGGTTCAGTTCTGGCTTAATCCTGCCCTGTTTGAGTGCAGGTTTGGTCCTGATTTGGTCCTGATTAAATCTCATCTTTTGGCAAATTCTGTTTCTCCAGTCACGTGACTTTCCCCAGTGACCGCACGTGCATTAAAAAACAATCTGACAATACCGTGAGTAAGTCCTGGTCTGGTCCTGGTGTAGTCCTGGTTTAGTCCTGGTTTAGTCCTGGTGTAGTCCTGGTTTAGTCCTGGTTTAGTCCTGGTTTAGTCCTGGTTTAGTCCTGGTCTGGTCCTGGTTTGGTCCTGGTGTAGTCCTGGTGTAGTCCTGGTTTAGTCCTGGTTTAGTCCTGGTTTAGTCCTGGTTTAGTCCTGGTCTGGTCCTGGTTTGGTCCTGGTGTAGTCCTGGTGTAGTCCTGGTTTAGTCCTGGTTTAGTCCTGGTTTAGTCCTGGTTTAGTCCTGGTCTGGTCCTGGTTTGGTCCTGGTGTAGTCCTGGTGTAGTCCTGGTTTAGTCCTGGTTTAGTCCTGGTTTAGTCCTGGTCTGGTCCTGGTTTGGTCCTGGTGTAGTCCTGGTGTAGTCCTGGTTTAGTCCTGGTTTAGTCCTGGTTTAGTCCTGGTCTGGTCCTGGTTTGGTCCTGGTGTAGTCCTGGTGTAGTCCTGGTTTAGTCCTGGTTTAGTCCTGGTCTGGTCCTGGTTTGGTCCTGGTGTAGTCCTGGTTTAGTCCTGGTGTAGCCCTGGTTTAGTCCTGGTTTGGTCCTGGTTTGGTCCTGGTGTAGTCCTGATTTAGTCCTGGTTTAGTCCTGGTTTAGTCCTGGTTTGGTCCTGGTTTGGTCCTGGTGTAGTCCTGGTTTAGTCCTGGTTTAGTCCTGGTGTAGCCCTGGTTTAGTCCTGGTTTGGTCCTGGTTTAGTCCTGGTTTGGTCCTGGTTTGGTCCTGGTGTAGTCCTGGTTTAGTCCTGGTTTAGTCCTGGTTTGGTCCTGGTTTGGTCCTGGTGTAGTCCTGGTTTAGTCCTGGTTTAGTCCTGGTTTGGTCCTGGTTTGGTCCTGGTGTAGTCCTGATTTAGTCCTGGTTTAGTCCTGGTTTGGTCCTGATGCTCTGTATCCAAACACCGGGCCGCGCTCTGATCCAAGCCGATCGAAGCGCTTCAAATCTGGGACACGGATTCGGTGTGGCGCGGTGATGGATGAAATCGCTAACATCCAGCCCTAGACCTGGTTAAGACCCTGATTAGACCTGGTTTGGACCTGGTTAAGACCCTGATTAGACCTGGTTTAGACCTGGTTTGGACTCGGGTTTTTTTCTGCTTTTGTCCTTTAAGTCCTGGTTTCGTCCTCTTCTTTAAGACCCCTTATAGACGATCTAGTCCTAATTTGGTCTTGGTTTTGTCCCGGCTTTGTCCCGGTTTAGTCCTGGTTTAGTTCTGCTTGGTCCGGTGTTCAGTCCTGGTTGCGTCCTGGTTTAGTCCTGTTCAGGCCCGGTCCCCTCAGACTGCAGCACCGGTCACATATTTGCGGTGTTTCCCGTGATGCGGAGCCGCGGCGTGTCGCTCCCGTTCGTCTCATACTGTGTCCGCACACGTGCACGCCCCCGAGCCGCAGCCCCCGGAGCCGCAGCCCCCGGAGCCGCAGCCCCGGAGCCGCAGCCCGGGGAGCCGCAGCCCCCCGCTCCCCGCTCCGCTGCGCCCCGCGTCGGTGAGGAGAGCCGCCGCAGCCCCCCGCTCCGCACGTACCTTCGCACTGACGCGCTCCATGCTGCTCCCCCCGGACGCTACCCCGACTCAGGCTCCGTGTCCGTCATCTCCGATGCGCTCGGGCCGCGGTCATGCTGGAGGCGGACGGAGGGCGGTCAGCGGGCGGTCAGAGGGATGTGAAGCCGAGGAGGAGCGCTGTCTCTCGGTCTGGT